AAACTCCAGCTCAATGGTGGGATTCTTATGGAGATGAATGTCCAGAATTACAAAGGTTTGCAATCCGAGTTCTAAGCTTGACTTGTACTTCATCTGGATGTGAGCGTAATTGGAGTGCATTTGAAATGGTGAGTTTTTTTATTTTTTTATTTTAAATATTAAAATATTTGATAAAAATCTTATAAATTTGAATTGAATTATTTATTTAGGTTCATACAAAACGAAGAAATCGTTTGCACCAGAGAAAAATGAATGACTTGGTATTTGTAATGTGTAATTTGAAATTGAATAATAATCAAGTCAAAAAGCAAGCGGATGATTTTGGTGTAGAAGATGATCTTTCATCTGATGATGATTGGATAACCGAGGGAGAAAAACATTCAAACATTGATTTGCTTGGTGCTATTGACAATGCAACACGAAGAAAAAATGGTAATGAAGATGAAAGTGATGAAGAAGAAATTCCTAATGATGCTGAAATAGAGAGTCATGGTACTGAAGATGATTTGGATATTCAAATTGATGATATTGGTGTTGGTACTAGTAGTAGCACTAATGCTCATAATATTGGTGTTGGTACTAGTAGTGACACTAATAATCCTCTTGATGCTAATGATATCGATGAATGTATGAGGAATAATGAGGAAGATGAAGGCAATGAAGCTGGTTTTAGTTTACATGACACACCAGCAGATTATTTGTTTTAAGTTTGTTAATTATTAGCTAATGAATAGTTATTTAAATTATGTATGGATTTTATTTGAATCATGTATTTTAAGATGCTTGAATTATGTATGGATTTTTATTTGAAGCATGTATTAACCATGTATTTTATGGTGCTTGAACTATGTATGAATTTTTATTTGAAGCATATATTTTAAGGTGCTATGAATTTTTATTTGAAACATAATTTTTTTTAATGTATTTTAAATTTCCTTACGATTTTACGATTTTACGATCCGTTTTTACGATCCGAGTTTGGTTTGCATGTTCCGTGCCGTGTCAAAATCGTGATTTTAACAACCTTGAAAAAGAAGATAGGGTTTTTGATTTCTAACTATGGAGACAAAAATACATGTTAATATTAATTTAGACGATAAAAAAAATTGATCTTGATGTTAATAAGTTCTATTTAATGAGAAAAATTTCATAAGTGTTCTTTATATTTTATAAAAAGATTTTATATATATATATATATTAGGTTGATTTCATATATTTTAAGTTGATTTCGGGTAATTGGGTCATTTGAAATTATTAATAGTTTTTGTTTTAAAGGTACATAAAATGTTTTAGATAAAAAAATAAGTTTAAAATCAAGTTTTATCAAAACAAAACCCTTGACTTGAATTTTTAGTGGCCTTTCAATTATTTGATGTTGGGTTAGTAGATAACACATTACCTGTTTATTTAAAAAAAATTAAAAAAAAATAATGAGATATTTATCCTTTAAAAAAAAATTATCCTAACTCAAAAACACTACATCTAGGCTGCAAGGCCCACAAATCTAGATGTGGGTTATCTAAGCTAAGCTTGCACGCCTACTTATTTTTTTTTATTCTTTTAATTTTATTATTTAATTTTAGTGTTTTATTAAATTTTTATTTGATTTACAAATACATTTTCAAATTCTTTTTTATTTTATTTTTATTTTTGGAGGCACTTCTATGTAGCCTTACTTAATATTGTTCTAACTTTAGTTTTATTGAATCTCTTTTGTATGTGAGTGTTTGTTGTTATTGTTTTATGAAATAAAACATTAATTTTAAAAAATAATGTTATTAAATACAATCAAGTTTATGTTTTGTGTTTTGATTTTAGATATATATTTTCACATTTATTTTTCAACTTTCCTATTTGTTTTTTATTTAAATATTGTATGTTTTAAACTTGATTTTTGCATAAAAATGATGGAATTATTTTTTATAATATATGCAACCTTGCATAATCTTTAGTTAAAAAATAAGTAACTTGTAAAAGAGCTAAAAATAAAACAAAAAATACTTCATAAACATGCAGCATTAACAATAAGTACTTCTCTTTTTTCCTTTCTCTCCATTGTAAATAAGAATATTGCCCGATTCAAAGAAAGAAAAATGTCAATCATATTGTTTGCTCAGGAAATATATATTTTCCTTTAGAATCGCCCCCCCTGAATATAATGTTTAATGCTATTACCAATTTGCGATCGTGCTGTTTTCATTTACTTTCACATAGCCAGGTCCAAGAAAAATTGCCATGAGCATGGTGGACTTGAACTTTTGAGTCTTCATTCAAGCCTGTTAATTTCCATTATCCTTTAGAAACGTCTAGGTATCTAGGGACTAAAATGGAATTTTAGTTTTTCAATTGGCTGTTTTTTTTTTTCGTAATTGTAAAGTAAGTAAAAGAAGTATATTCGCTAGTGTTTGATTATTATCTTGAATAGAAAAAATAAAAATAATTAGGATAGAGAAAAAATGACAAAAAACAGGATATAATTGTATTGGATAGTAATATATAAGACATAATAACTGTTTATGTATCAAGTTTAGTTATAATGGATAAGAGAAAAAAAAAATCTATTTTACTCTTATTATATATTACTATCAAACTTATATATTTTAAAAAATAATTAGATATTATTTTTTTTACTTAGTTTGTATTGAGTAAACTCAGGTTGACTCTCCCAATCTGTAACATGAGCCTTGTCTCGGATTGAATCTTGAGTCAGACTTTAAAATTATGATAATAATAATAATTATTTATATATTAATATGAATCAACTTGGGCTAACCTTCTTGACCTATGATTCAGGCTTTACTTCTAATCAATTTTCGAGTTGATTTTTAAAATTATGATAATAACTATTTTTTTTGTATTGATCCAATAGATCTGGGTTGACCCGCTACACCAGTGACCTAGACTTCTCTCAGGTTGACCATCAAATTGAGTTTTTAAATGATAATCATAATTATTTTTATTTTTATTTGATTCTAATCAATGGTCAACTCAAATTATAACCTAGACCTTGTTAAAAGTTGACCCTTAAGTCATGTTTTAAAATTATTATAATAATTATTTTTACTCTTACATGGACTCTAGTTAATCTAAAATTACTCTTCTAAGTTGTGACCTAGACCTTATCTAGATCGATCTCCCAGTTGGGTTTAAAAACTATAATAATAGTTATTTTTATCGTTACATGTCTGAATTAGATAATTTTAAAATTAATTTTTTTATAAGAATATTTTAAAAATAATAAATATGATCTTTGAATATATATATATATATATATATATCTTCTTTATACCTTTTATTTTAAATGTATAAAAAATCACTTCAAAATGATTTCAAAAACATATTTGTTGTTATGTCTCTATTTCTGCTTTTATAACTAAATACATTTACGGGTTTGAGTGAATATTGTCCCTTCATTTGATTTGAGCATTAATATTAATTATTGACCAAACTTTTTAAAAACAACTTTATATTATATTATTTTTAATTGAATTAATGAAAATTAAATTCATTTTAACAAATATTTTCAAATTTTATTTTGTTATTTTATAGAAAATACAAATTAGAAAATTATAATCAATAGATTATAATTTGAATATAAGTGGAAAATCTCATCTTAAAATACCAAAAATTATTTTAAAAAAAAGTTTCTAGTAAATGATAATGTCCATGTCAAATTGAAAAACAACTTCTTCTTTTTTTATCGAAACATGAGAATTTAAAAATAAAATTGACAGATTGATTTTACAGATCTCAATGTGAGCTAGCTGGAGAAGAAATGCCATTAAACCAAGGAACAAAAAAAAAGATTAGGTCTTTCTTATCCAAGAATAAAGCATCACTTTTGATCTACATTTATTGATGACATTAATGGAGGACAGATGGATTCAGGAAATCAGATCTTTCATTTTTCCCATCTCAGGAAAGATTCAATCCTCTTTCTTCGAAAGACAAAAAAGAAAAAGAAAGAAAAAAGAAAAAGTTGATGCGAACATGTGATCTTCCATGTTTTGGTTAAAATGGTTGCTTTTAGTTGATGGCTGCCTAGCGGTATGCCACGCACCGAGTAAAGGGACCTTATCACAATCCTGCTCCCAAAACAAGGCATCCATGTCCATCTCCGTCCTCAACTTAGGAGGCCACAGGCAGCTATGTAGTCCTTCCATTTTCTTTGAAAGGGCTCCATGTCCTGAACACTTCCGACGAGATACTCCTGGGCTATACTTCCTAGTATAGATGAACAACATGTATCATCCAGCAAGAGAATACAAGTGAGTTGACATGATGGATGATCAAGAGAATGTGCTAGCTATTCAGTCAGTGGATCAAGTTCACATCTATAGCAGTACAATTCTTATATATATATATATATATATGACATGATGGATGATCAAGAGAATGTGCTGGCTATTCAGTCAGTGGATCAAGTTCACATATATATATTGTAATCCCAGTGCTAATAGCATGTCTTTGATTAAGGTTAAAGGGTGTTTGATAATATGATAAAATTTGTTTTTTAATGAGTTTTTTATTTAAAAATATATAGAATAATATCAATATATTAAAATAATAAAAAATATTAAAACTTGAAGATATTAAAACTTAAAGGTTATAATTTAACTTATTTGATTTTAAATTTACCTTTTAATTATCGGATTGAATCTTATAAATTTTAAAATCATTTAAAATTTATATAAAAATATAAAATTAGTAAAAATATATGAAAGTTACCCCAGACACCTCCACATTAATAATAAAAAACCCATTAAAAAATATTAATTTGTCAAACAATACTCCCGGACAATAAAAATACTCTTGGCCAAGAAGATTTTCCACCTTGAAAATCCCTTCATCAACATCTAATTGCGACTGGCTATTTGATAATGACGTCCTAGCAACTCAAATTAGCTTGTCCACCATCAAGTTAAACAAGTCAAGGAAATATTGATCACATCGATCCGCACTCTGTGTATTTATTTCTATGCCAGTTAAGTTGGCAATGATGACATTTCAACTAATTAGCTTTTTCCCTTAGAATTTAACAAAGTTTAATTGTGTTTTCTTCTGTAATTGATAGAAGAAATCCAACCCATCCTATATTTAAAACTAGAGTTTTGATTTCATTATTGAACACATGTTATTAAGAAGGATAACAGGCACAGTGACATCCAACTTTCGGTAAACAAAACGAAAAAGAGAGAGAGAAAGGTGATGGCAAGAGAGAGATATAAAAAAGTGAACGCAATTTCATTAAAGATTCCCACCATTTAACATTTTAAACCATATCTTCATCTGAATGATTGTCAACGAGAGCTTTTTAGCTCCCACTAAATGGAATTTGAGTTTGAATTAAAGCGTTTCATTAGTCAAATATCATGTTTAAGATTATTTATAAGCTAGCTCTCGATGCTGCAGCCTGTGGATGGTGAAGGTCTTCACAGGGGAGGAAGAAAATGCAGCAAGGTATAAGAATAAAGAGGAGATGCAGCTGGGCTGCCTAGTATTCGTGGGATGAGAGAAGACACAAGAGTGTGGGTTTGTTGTGTTGGTGGGAGTTCTTGAAGGGTACACAATCTGAGAGATGCGAGCTGCTTGCTAGCATAAAGTCAAAGGTGTTACTGGAGTTTATGATATATATCGAGCTGCTCCTGTTTTAGTTGATGATCTCACTCACTAACTACTTTCATATGCAGCAAGCTGCAATAAGTTGGGAAGGAGGAGTCGAGCTAGAATGATAATGGAGGTCCGTGCATGCAGGAGGAGTCAAGCTAGAAGGATAGTGGAGGTCCGTGCATGCAGGAGGAGTCAAGCTAGAATGAATGTTAATGGAGGTCCGTGCAGGCAATCTTTCAATATTAAAAAAATGCTATAAATCGGGAACGATGAAGATAAGATTTGGCTGATGGAGGTCCATTGGTCTGCGTACCAATGGAAGAAGATTGTTATATCTGAAAACGGGCATGGAGACAGCTTCTGCGGTAACTTTCAACCCTCTGCAGCCTCGCTTAAGTATTTATGTGCATATATTTTCATATTTTTTATTTATTTTAACGAATATGAAATATTTTAACTTATATATTAGTTACAATTGATTTTTCATATATATATATATATATATATTTGTCACGAATAAAAGAAACTCTAAAACCTAGTGGAAGTTTCACTGTTACTCTAGACATAAATATTTATTATGGTGGCTACAGTGAAATTATCTTTTTGTCCCAGAGTGAGAAAAAATCAAGCCTTAAAGTGGGGTTTTTGTTGTCTTTTCCACTTATTTAGTGTTCATTAACAAATTATTTATTTAGGAGCTTATATTTTTTTATACTAAAAATATTTTTTTATCATAAAATCAATAAAATTTAAATTATTGATATATTTCATTGTCTTCTTTTTTTAATTTTAGTTTACAGTTTCTTAATTTTTTATTTTGTTCTTGGTTTTTTATAAAAATTTTATTTTGTTAAAGTTATTTTTTAATTTAATTTAACTCTCCAATTAAAAATCTTTATTTATCCTCTAATTAATATTTTTTTTTCATTTTTATTTTTTTCAGATGTTACTTTTATACAATTGATTTTTTTATTTTATTTTTTAATATTTAATTTATAAAAAAATTTAATTTTATGAGAATTTAAAATTTTAAAAAATATAATTAAAGCGCAGTGTCAAACAGGTAAGCTTGTACCATGCTGACTTGCAAGGCGCATGATGATGGATAGAATCATTCAAATTAGCAAGAGTGCTTGTTGATTCACGAGCAACTCTTTTGGATGTTAAACTCGGAAGCTAGCTTCAGGAATCTCTACAACAAGAAGAAATCTAGCAACTATTGACTGTTACGGGGATGATATATCTGGGGTTAAGAATTTCCAACGCCTTGTTCAACACATTATCTTGGGTTATCTCCAGATTTCCTGGTCAGCCACGTTCTCAGTTCTCTCAAATAAAGCTTCAAAGCAATGGCAGGAGCATTCGCGAAACCATATTTATTAAATGAATTCTGAGCAGTTCATTGCAAAACCTACAAGTTAGGAGATGAATAAAGTTCTGTGAAATTTTATTAAATGAATTGGTTGAGAAACCGATGTGAATTCTGAGCAGTTCATTGCAAAACCGACAAGTTAGGAGATGAATAAAGTTCTGTGAAATGTTATTAAATGAATTGGTTGAGAAACCGATGACAAAAAGCATGAGAAGCTTACAACAATATAAAAGTAGTTAATAATACTGTTACAAATGCCATCAATGGCAGGGTGAGAGAGGAGGAGGACGAAGCTACAATCTGGATGATGAAATTGCAATTCCCTTGGGAAATATTCTGACTGGTAATCGTGGCCAGGCCTTCAAAATTACAGGCGAATTCATCCTGGTTTTGTACCTGGTAGTACATGTTGAAAGCATATGAAGCATTCCCATTGGAGTCCAAGCTGTTGCAAGAAGAGCCATATCCAAGTGCAGTGCAGTCTGAACGTGAGCAAGCATAATCAATGTTCTCTGCAAGCTTGCTAAGATCCTTAGCATTTGGATTAAACATACACCATTTAGCTGGAAGATATTGCACATTCCGCGCGCCCGCAAGAAACTTGTTTTGATTCTGACCAGAAAGATCTAGAGGAAATTTTGGCTGCCCATCATAACGAAAGATCCCCCAATGGCGCTCAAAATTTCCAGGAGCGATGCTCTTGGCATCTTCATCAAGAAGACCAAACAAATAAACTTCAATGTAGCCAGGCCGAAGTGGAGTGCCTCTATTGCCTACAAGTCGTGGTATAAGTCCATTGTAAAATCTAATAGCATAACCTGTGTTGGCATTCTTGTCCCCATCTGTGGGCCAGCCTACCTCGCCTACTACAATGGGCATATCCCCATGCCCCGCTGCTTTCAAGGCCGAAACCAAGGTGTCAAAGTTGGCATCAAAAACGTTGGTGTACTGAATCCCAGTGCCTCTGTCTACAACAGGTTGAGGAGCCCCATCAAAGAAAGCATAATCAAATGGGAAATCATCATTCCCATAAAGACTTAGGAAAGGATAGATGTTCACAGTGAAAGGCGCTCCATTCTGACTCAAAAACTGAACAATCTGGGTCATAATGTCATTGATATCACTGCGGAATCTGCCAGAAGATGGATAAGCTTGGTCATCTGGTGAGCCGTAGACATCAGCATTTAAGGGTACAGTGGCCTTTATGGAGTCTCCTACCCCAGCATCATTAAGGGCATTCTGTATGTTCCGAAGTGCTGGGAAGGTGGTGTTTAAGAATGAACCATTATAGGATGAGAGGAAAGGCTCATTACCAACTGCTACATACCTGTGCAGAGACAATAAAAATATTTAGGAATGCAAAGTTAATTGTGAATTTTTATTCTCAACAACATAAAATGCATTCACAGCCAAATAATGGAAGTAAATCTTCCAATTTATATGCTTGGAAATGAAATAGTTAGTTGCTGATTTGCATAAATTCCTTCATTCAACAGAATCGATTTAACGCAGAGAAGTAGAATTCAAACACAACATCTACACACACACACACACACACCATCTCTTGTAGTTTAAGAAGATAGAAATGTTTTAAAGCTCTAATGCACACACCTCCAGATGCATTTTTATAGGAAATTATGGATGCCAGAGCACAAAAATCATTCAGAAAAGGAGCCACCTAAACAGAAAAAAATGGATTTTATTTTCTGTTTCTCAAAATTGATCACAAGAATAAATCCTTCTTTTCATTCTATTCTATATAACACACCAATAAACTTTTGAATATAAATATCTTTTGCTAGTAACTAACCACCGTTCCATGTCACAAGTAAACATAATTTCTAAACCAATGAGCATTTGGCCAGGTCTCTTTTTCTGAGTTGTGCACTTGCCACCTTAAGAGCTAATATAAAATCTTGTATTTCATATCATTTCCGAAAACACCAAGAGTATCTGAAAAGATGGAAAATGTGCAGGTTGAATTTTAAATAAGAATTACAGCAAATTTAAGTGGAAAATGATGTGTTATGTACCCTTTCAATTAATTTCCACATGTCATCAAGCACTGGATATGGAGAAACCGCACAGACAAGTCTAGCAAAACATAATTCTCTTGTTCTACTTATATCCCATGCCAATTAACTTTCGGAGTGGCCAAGGTTGCGTTCCTTTTCTCTTTTTCAGTATATACAAGTCTCTCAAAGAAGTACAGCACTCAGAATATGATTCTCCAAAAAGTTTCTGAATGCATACGAAAAGGAAATCAAAAGTTCACATGGATAAAAGCTGGAGTGCTCATTGAGATTCCAAAGCCCAACCTCCCATTTTATTTTCCTAGAAATTCTCAGCATGTGCTATCATATTCTATAAAACAGATTACTCAGAGTAGAAAACGATTAACATTTTAATGACTCGCCTAACAATTTGGCAAGCAAAACTTGCGCGCATCGCACTAATGCCTATCAAATTGTTAGCTTCTCCAATTAACAAACCGCAACTGCCATCTTATGGAAGATTCAACAAACAAGTCAGCCATTTTAACAATTCCTAATGTGGAAGTTTCTATATTCCTAAGTACGACATTGGATGGGGATTAGAGGAGCTGAATCTGTATAGCAAATGTAATAAAGTAATAACAACAAGGCATAACTTCATCCAAAAGCAATAGAATTATCAAGACTTCCGAAACACAGACAATAGTGCTGCATCTTCTGTCACAATCTGCAGGGCAACTCTAATCACAACTCATACAATCCCACTTTGTTAAATTTGTTGAACTAACACAAATTTAAACTTAAGAAATCAATTCAAAGTCAAATCCTAGAGAACACCAACTTCTCAACTGCATTGATTATGCACTAGAAACTCTAATCACAACTCATACAATCCCACTTTGTTAAATTTGTTGAACTAACACAAATTTAAACTCAAGAAATCAATTCAAAGTCAAATCCTAGAGAACACCAACTTCTCAACTGCACTGATTATGCACTAGAAGGTCTAATCACCTTTTTTTTCTCCCTTTGCAATTGCAAGAAAAAGCAAACAAATGTTACCAACAACAACAGAAACCATAAACTCCTAGTTAATCATATTAATAGAAAAAATTTAGTTGAGAGAGAGAGAGCTCAAGCTTACTTGATGGTAACTCCTCCATTGAAGTTATAACGAGTGACATTCCTCTTGACCCAATCTTTAGCACGATTATAATCACCCATTACAGCAAGCTGATCATTAGGAATAGCAACCATAACTTCAATGCCAGTACCAGCAAGTGAATTCATTGTATTTTGGTCTGCATCAAAAAGCTTCACTTTTTGGATCCCATTATCCTTCAACATTTCAACAACTGTTTCTGGTGGCAATTTACGTATAGCCATAGTTCCCCAATTAACACCAAGACCATGAACACAATTCCCTAAAAGGCCTAAAATCAAAACCAATCTAAGAAACCAGCAAGTACCCATTTTTAGTTCTGGTTTCGAAGAGAAAAATTTCAAGGAAAAGGGAAGACAAGACAACAAAGTAGAGTCGAAGGGTTTTGTTAATTGTTGTAACTAAAAAGAGAGGGAAAGCAACGGTTTTGACAGATCGGTACGCTAAAACAGCGAAAAAATAGCGATTTAAGGGCCACGATTTGCAGTTCGTGATTGGTAGGAGAGAAGGATAGGAACACACAAAAATCTAATGAATATTTCAAAACAAAGAAAAAAAGAGCATAAATATGAATCAAAGACAAAAGTGTAAAAGAAATACACTTTTTTATTTCCTTCTGGTGCGTGAATACAGAGAATCAATAACCAAGAATCCGCAACTCTTTTAAGAAACTCAAGAAACAGAGCAACAAAAACAGAGCAAGCGGAGATATCCAAAAGGACCGATACTTGGTTATGATTAACAAAAATTACGCTGAAGAGAATGGATTGATCGATTTTGGAAGATGGGTTTTGAATGGAAACCAGAAAAACAAGAAAAAATAGAACCGGAAGTTAAAAGGGTAGAAAGATAAAAATCTGTGGATTTGAAAAACACATGAAAGATACCAAAACCGTGTGTATCAAAAGAGACGCGTTGAATAAAAAAACAAAATAGTAAAGAGAAAACACAGAGATTGTTTTTTTGACAATGAGAAAAGGTGAAAACAGAAAACTCAGATAGAGAGAGAGAGAGAGAGAGAGAGACAATAAGGAAATGACAAAGCACCAAGGGAATGGGTGTAGAAACCTCGCTTTCTCTAATGGGGCTATTATATCAAGGAACGGCTCCTAACGGCTAGTATTTTTGAGAAATCATTGAGAAGGGTTTAGCTGTTTTTGATTTTTTGTGAAGGTTTAAAACATTACTAGCTAGGTCTTACTGTGAAAATAAGAGAGATGAATGTATAATTAAGGTATTAGTACTAATGAAGCAATGTCTAAATAAATGATTAAGAGGTAAGGATTTAAAAGATTTATGTTTCAAAATTTGTGTGTGTTTCATCATAGAAATCATAAAAGCATTGAACTGAAAACTAAATCCTTCCAAGATTAATTAATTAGATGCTTTGAATTCACATTTGTTTTGATTAAAAAAATATAAAATTAAGATTTGATGGGTAACCACACAATGTGGGGTTAAGTTGTTCCATTTTTAAATTCTATGCAATCTTTTGGTTCAACCTTAAACTTAAACTTGCAATAAAAATATCTAAAAAATTTTAATATTAAAATATTAAAATAATTGAAATACACATAAAAATTAAAAAAAAATATTGTAATTTTGATGTAAACACAACTCTAAACAAGCATGAAATCTTCAATGCCAGATTATCCTTTAGGGGAGGATATAATAAATACTTCGTAAAAGTTATGAAGGATGCCTTTTTCTTTCAATCTTCTTTTTCCCTTACTGATTTAGGAAGCAATGAACTGAAAGATGCATTTAAGATTACCTTAATGAACTGAAAGATGCATTTAAGATTACCAAATTATTGATTTTGTGAATGTTATTTAAGTTTTTATGAAAATTAGAATATGCATTTTTAAAAAATAAAGTTTGCTTTATTCATTATTTTTTTATATTCAAATCTCAATGCTGATACATGATGAAATTTATTAAATTCTTCTATATTTTCGTGAATGTGCATCCTTTAAATTATATATATATTAAAAAAATAGTTTCACAAGACAACATTACTTGGAGAAAATAAAATCAAATTATAATAAGAGACTGTTTGTTTAAAAAATATTGTTGAAATTTATTTTTTTATAATTTTATATCATTTTAAAATACTAATATCAAAATTTAATTTAATAAAATATTATTTTAATATATTTTAAAAAAATATCCTTCCAAGTTCCAACAATCTCAAGCATCAGCAAGCTTCTTTTCCGAAGGTGACGGTGTATAGCATGGGAATGACGTGGCTCCCACTTAATTAAAAGTATGGCAACTCAAGTTACTTTTGCAAGGTTCTCTCCATGGCTATAATTATTACTACATTATTTATTTGTTTACAATCGATGTTATTCCATCAAGCAACTATGCTGACTTTTCCAAAAGCTTATCCGATATTTTAGATATTATATGTTTTAAAAAAAAATTAAATTTTTTTATTTAAATTTTTTATATATTTATGTTAACAATACTTTTAAAAAATAAAAAATATTATTTAATATATTTTTAAACAAAAAATAACCTCTATGACAATACCAAATACTACTATAATATTTAAAAAAATAAAAAAAAATATATATTATTTAACTGAATATTGTAGCAATTCTCTTTAGTTTAAAGGTATTTGGTAATAATATAGTTAAAATGTGTTTATGTTATTTCAGAATAAAAAATCTAAAAACTATTTGTAATATTTAGCTTTCACATGAAATGTAAAGTTTGAGCAGATATTTTTATTCCTAGCTTTTGCCAAATGGTCCAAGTCTATATTTCCAATCTAATTAAACATAATCCCTATGAGTTTTAACAATAAAAAAAAGTTTAAATTTTGTTTTGCATTAGGCTTCTTTATCTTATATTTTTAATACAAAATGATGTGTGCGGCATCATTTTAATTCAAAGTTAAAGATTTGCTCATTAAATGATTTTAATAAGATTTCATTTCATCACATTTCAAAAATTTATAAATAAAAAAATTTCATTAATTTATTTGATATCAAAATCTTAGAAAAAGATATTTATAAAATTATAATTTAAAAAAAAAACTAGGTTATTTCTACCAGAAATGTAGCGATAATTGTTTTGTAAAGTTTTTTTATTTAGAAATATATTAAAATAATATTTTTATTTTAAAAAAATTATTTTAAATATTAATATATTAAAATAATCTAAAAATACTATCAAAATATTAATTTGAAGTAAAAAATAAAATAAATTTAAACTTTTTTTAAAATAAACATAAAAGCAAAAAAAACTTTTCGTCGTGATACTGTTGTTATAATTATTAAATAGAACAATAAAAGTGAAGTTTCCCCACTTTCCATGCTTTTCAAACGGTCGGTAGCCGACATTATAATGGGCCCGTGCTAGTACATGTTTTTCTCGTAAAAAACTACATTTAATTGATACAAATGTTATATATATATATATATATACAAAACAATATTAATGCAAATGTAAATTTAAAAAATAAAATAAATTAATGATTCGAGTTATAATATCAACTAAGTTTAATAAATTTAATTTAATTTAATTTAATTATATAATAAAAAATAATGATATTAATTAGAAAATATTTATATATAAAAAAAAAGATGACAATACCTTAAGAAAAAATCAAAGGAAGCACCAAATCAGATAAAAGAAGATAAAGAAAATTAGACAGCGTCACTAACAAGGAAGAACATTACGGGGGAAAACAATTAACTGCACAAAAAGATATGAAATAATTAAAAGATTACGGTTGAAAAATAAATAAAAAATAATAAAATAAAGAGTAACTAATTTTTTTATTAGACAGTTTAATTAAAAAGAAAAATAAATTATAAAAATAATATTTTATAAATCTGTATTGGATAGTGAAATTAAAAATTAATAAAATTTTTATAAAATAATTAAAAAAAAATCCAAAGAATAAAGAATAAATATATATAAATAATACTTAAAAAAAATTAAAACTGAAGGACTAAATCGAAAAATAATTACACTTATTCATTGGAAGAGATAAATTGAATAAAAAAATAACTCAAACAAGAAGAAAAAAATAGAAATTGAGAATAAAATTAAAAAAAATAATACAAAATAAATTTGGATTAAATGATAAAATTAAAAAAAATAAGCTTTTATAAAAGGGTCAAGTAAAAAATTCAAAAATTAAAAAATAAATTTGCATTAAAAAAATTGTGTTAATTGAAATTGAAAATTTAAATCAATAAGAAATAAAACTCTTATTAAAGAGTCAAGAATAAAAAAAAAACAAGAACCAAAAACACAAATAACAAAAACAAGAACACCAATTTGCATTTTTTATGGGAGAGAGTAAAAACAAATAAAAACTCATTGACAACAAGTTGTCCCATTGTTGATGACATGTGACATGCTAGATGAAAGAGAATGCGATGAATCATCTAAATACACAGAGGATGAGTAGTTTTAATTATTGAAAGATGTTACATGTTTCATCCAAAATGCAAGGATGTCTCCCACAAACATCAATGTTTTAAATTTAATTATTATTTTATTATAATAAAATATGACAATGGTCTTTACAAAAGTGGCAAGATAACAAAAAAAAAAAAAAACTTGAAAATACATTAATAAGAAAGTTTGACAAAATTAGAGATATAAAGCTTGACTAGTATCTTTCAATGAAGTAAGTTTAGTCTAACAGTTCTGTTTAATAACTTTCACGAAAATAAAGGTTAAAATCTTATGTTTTTTCACTTTTGTATTTATGTTTCTGCTTCTTAGTCTTTGAAATTTTATTATTATTATTCAGGTATCCGTAAAACCCTTTTAAAAAGTAAAATTAATTTTGTTCAAGATTCATGATTGTTCCTCTTAACATGTTTTTATCCTTATAAGAATATCTCGGTATGTTAATCACTAAATCAATACTTTATTACTTTTTAGTCTTTGATTGAGTTTGCATATGGTATGATATTGTGGTAATTTTTTTTTTTTATTAAATAAAAAAATTATTTAATTATTTGAATAATTTTTATTGCTTGTATTGAATCTTGTATATAATTATGTTTTAAATCTTAATTTTGTAGAAGTATTTTTTTCATTTATAAATACTTATTTTTATTTATTTTTCATATAAAAATTTATATTACATTAATTTTAATTAAAAATATATTTTTAAAAAATCACAATTAAAATGAAATAGATTTTTTTTTTCCAAAACTCAATCTACTATTTTTGACGACATGAATTATTAAAAATATATTAATAAAACTCATCTCCTCAAAATAACCCCATTAATAACGTTAATATATAAAAAAAGTCTATCTTTTTAGAGATCAAAATGCAGCCATCTAACCATTTACTCTCTCCTCTCCATTTTTCCAACGACTCTCTCCTTTCCATTTTAAAAATTAAAACATAAAACAAATAAAGTTAAGAATTATAATTAAAACTCTTAAAAAAACGAAGACCGAAAATAAAAGAGTAAAAACTTCCAGGATAAAATCTCACTTTTCCATGCCCCGTATGAATAGTAAATTAAGGAAAAGAGATTTTTCTTCTGTTTGTGTTGAATTTGATCGTTTTAATTTTTTTTAATATAAAAAATTAATTCTAATGTTGCAATATATATATATACAATGCTGATATTTTTATACATCGCAGATATGTTATAGCAAACAAGACAATAAATTATCAGACTTGAAACAAAGTCACCATAGCATTGCGGAAAAAATAGACCACAATCAGATAATTTTTCAAAGGCTAAAAAAAAATAAGGCTAACTCAGCTACACAAAATATTCCATAGTGCACCCGAGTCTTGCGCCGTGGTGAAAAAAACAGTTAAAAAAAGAACAAAAAAGAAAGAAAGAATGGTGTTCCAGTATTTTTTATACACGAAAGGGTTAAAGAAATTGTTTGGATTAATATGCTTCAGAAGAAAAGTTCATGTCTGTCTTACACTTGCCAATTACAAATTCCAAAAAAATGAAAAAAAACATGGAATCTAACAACCAGTGTACCAAAGAAAATGAATTAAGACCCGAATTCGTGATTCTCACCGCCGCCAAATTCAATTGTAACGCTACGAA